TAATGTTTGCATATACTCAAATAGCACCATAATTAAAATAATTTGCCAACAGCTGGTTCTGGTCAGTTATCCTGAAATCAACACACCAGTTTTGGTCAGCTAACTTCTCATGTCGAAGCTCACAGTGTAGAGGCAATTAACCTCTTCTGTTTTCTCTATTAACATTACACTTTAAATTAGCAAAATTCGGGTTAGAAATTGGTTTTCAACAGTAAAACTAGTGGTTGACTGGTTAAACAGCAAAAGTGCCAATGAGCTCTCTAGGGAGATGAGAGGCCAGGAGAGACTTCTGAATATGCTGCAGGCGTGCCCTGGAGGCCTGCGACCGGCCTGTCGGGCCAATACCTCTGAGGGTTTGGGCTGCCCAGTGCTGACTGGCAGGTTCAGAATCCTGTCTCTACAAGGGCTGGAGATGTTTCTCTGTAAAGGTCTGAGCCATCCTGCCTCTGTGGGACTGTTCCACTGGGCCACCAACACGTGAGAGCAGTGACAAACCTCACGCACACCAGTGTGGATGACTGTTTCCCGGAAGCATGACTGACAAGTGCGGGGCCACAGTTTGCCAACTGCTGCTCCAGAACACAGGGTCTGCATCAGGCCAGGGGTGGCTGCAGACCATCAGACAGGGCAGGCACTCCACAAAGCCCGTGCACCAGGCCCTTGCCTGCGGACGAACACTCGTGCAAGGGGCAGCCCAAGCCTGGCATTCAGGCGCACGCAGGTGGCGAGGCCGCAGAGGGCAGAGAGCCTCTCAGCTGCCGCTGTGCACAAGGTCGTGTCCTCGATGTCACAGCCCCATCGTCATGAGGGGGCCTGTTAAGACAGAGGAATATCATGTCCAAAAAACAAGGAATAAAAATTAAACTTGGGTTAAAAAAATGGAAGCGCATCAGACCACAAGAACATTTGACCTGGGAGCCAGGCCAGCAGGCACTGCAGCATCCAGAACACTAGGGAAAGGGCTCAGGTCCAGAACCGTCCCAAAGACATGGCTGGCAGACGACCTCATTATTCACGGTGATGGAAACAGCAGAGAGAACACGGCCCGAACCCAATTTTCCCTGCTCTGCAATTAGTTCCTGGACTGCCCTAGTTTGACTCGAATCCACTTAACATTGAAGTCGTTCAGATTTTCCTGAATCCAGACAGCCCTCGGGCCCAGAAAAGAAGTCAGTCGTGACTGCAGGCCTGACCACTCCAATGGACCCGCTGAGCCAACGAGGCCCACGTCCATCCTCCTAGCTGACTAGCCTAGCGTAACGAACAGCAGGAAAATACCCATTTTCTCCACTGCCGGCTGGGTTTCTTCTCTCCTCATCCATCCGTTGAGAAATGTTTCTTTGATAATACAATTGACTGTTACTAGAAGCTTCTGCATATAGAAGACCTCAGAGAAGAGTTTCTCAAATTTGGAAAATTCTTAGGCATCCTGGGGCCTAGAATGCGCTGGGGCCCCAGCACGCCTAAGTGCACCACTGCGACGTGGCCACAGGTGCTCCTGAGACCACACCTGAGGACAAGTGCCAGGGGCCGGCCCGGCTCACCTTGGGGTCTGGCGGCTCATGCAGGTGCTGAGGGGAGAGGCCGACACCCAACTCCAGTTGTGCCACAAATAAGTCAGCCACACAGAGAGCTGAGAGTGCGCCATTTTTATAACCTCTCAACCTCCCCAAAATCTGCTAGCCAACGCTTTCAAAATTAGGCAAGAAAGAGTGATATTCATGTATTCACTTAACTCCACTGCACATTGGCCATGTACCACGCACTGGGCACTATGGTGGGGACTGTGCAACGACGCCCACTATGGACACTGTGCCCGACCTACCATGGCCAGGGACAGCAAGGACGAACCGCGGGCTCCCTGCACCTCAGCTGCAGCCAGGACACAAGCACAGCTGTTAGGTGAAAATGGAGGGCACAGCAAGCTCCACCTCTCATATAACTTAGACCCTCAGGTGTGAGAGCTAGGGATAACAGAGTTAAGAGAAATGTACAACTGTTCTCCACATCACTCCTGACTCAGTCAGGACAAATCTGGGAATCAGCCCCTGTGCCTTAAAATTCAGAAATTAAAAATAGCCCAGGCCAGGTAGCTCAGTTGGTTAGAGCAGCGTTCCAGTGCACTAAGGTTGTGGGTTCAATCCCTGGTCAGAGCACATACATACAAGAATTAACCAGTGAATGCATCAGTAAGTAGAACCACAATGTTTCTCTTTCTCCCTCTCTCTCCATTGCCTCTCCCTCCTTTCAGAATGGAGGGAGGAAGGAAGGGATTGGGGAAGAGAAAGAAATTAAAATCATACCAAAAAATCTAGACCTAAAAAACTAAAACAGAGAAGACCTATGAACTCTGAAAACTCAGAAATTGATCAGGGACTCAAGAGTTGGAAAATTTTAGTTTAAGTGATAGCTAATAAGCTTAGTAATCAGTGCAAATAAAAGCTATTGTTCCAGGAACTGAAGGTGGGACCCACCCTGACTCCAAGATCACAAGCAGTTCTACCAGGAGACTGTAAGCAGTCTCGGGAGGACAGCGAGCAGGATGGAATCTGAGCTATGTGCTCCAGGGGGAGACGCCCACCACCCAGTACACAGCTAAAGGCCACCACCCAGGGTGAGAATACTGCAGTTTTTTAATCCGATTAACTTTCACTGAATCTCAAACCCCTTACCTACGCTTCGTTCTCCTTATAAAAAGAACCATTTTAATATGGAATTTAAGACAGTCCATTAGGATATGAACCCAGCATCTTCTTGGATCGCCAGCCCTCTGAATAAAGCGCCCATAAAGATTCAATCCCTGTCTCTGATTATTGGGTTTGGTAGTGACAGCACAAATCCCAGGGGGTTTTTTTGCTAGTTTCAAGATGGTGCAGGAGCTCACACCTGCCCACCTGGAGGTCAAGAGGTTCTTCCGTGTGTGTCTGTGTGTGAGAAAGAAAAACAAATCGACAGGCATGCAGGAAGGGACATCCAGGGAGCGACTGAAGGACCCAGCCTGGCAGAAGAAAGTGGTTGAAAAAGCCACTTCCCCTGGTATGCCATGGGGAACCCCCAGTCTCCAGCCCCCCACGTCTTCTCTCCTCATTCCAGCCTTCCACCCTGATTCCCTCTGGGCTGGCCCTCTCTATGCCCTAGAACTCCAAAGCGCTTGACCTGCTTCTACCTGGCCAGCTGCCAGTCACATAAAGGATAACCCGGAGGGAAACAGGACATCTCATTTCCATCCCTCAGGTTAACAGTGATGGGAAGCAAAGTGGCCTCACGAGCCCTGAGGCCCACTAGGTCAGCCGGCTCACAGCCCCTAGTGTAATGGGGTGCAGCCAGGACCCCCCTCAAATGAAGAATTTGAAATGCAGTCCAGAACTCAGGTGTCCAGGAAATATAAAAATACAGGATATCACCACCCCTACAAGTCTGAACTGGGGGTTGGGACAAGTGAAGCAGGGCCATTAACAGTTATTTTGCATATCAACAGTTTTGCAAATAACTGCAAAAAATGGTCATTTTATATATTTATAACAGCTGGATAGCTTCATAGATATGTTAAGTAGCGTTGGCCATGCTTTGAGCCAGGGGGATGGGAGTGACTTGGACCCATGACATAACTGGGAGGCAGCTCCCCCTGGTTACACTGCCTGTGTGAGAGCTTGGAGATGGTTTGCTCCCTACCACAGGGCCACACCTGCCCAGACTTACTATGACAACCAAGAAAGGCTGGAAAAATGTGGGAGTGCTGGCAGGTGTAGCAGATTGTAGGAGGAGTCAGAAATGGGCTTGCAGAGGAAGATTCCTGCAGGTCTTTAAACCCAGGCGTGCCAGCCATGCAGGGGCTAAGCACGTGGTTTTCGGGATCCCTTTACCACACAGCTTAGATGACAGGAGAGACAATGCAGGACTAGGGACAAGGACAATGTGGGATCTTGCAGGGAAGGAAAGAGGGGCCTGAGGAGGTGCCACAGGGTTTGGATTGAGAACTGGAGATCGCTGCAGTGACACCCTGATGGTGTTGGGAACCACAGGAGGCCTGCCGGCCAAGCACGGATGACCGAGAGGAACCAGAAGTGAGCTGCAGAATTTTTTTTTCCTGAGACATGGTACTCAAGACTGGTCTGCCAGGGCAAAGAGGGAAGGAAGGACTGTGGTTTTGTGGATGTTTTAAGGGACTTTGAGATTTTAACGAAGACATTAAGTCATTACTCTAAGTCTGTATAACTTTTGAATTAACAGTTTATTTCCTTTTCACCAAACTCTAGCCTTGAGAGTCATAATTCCAATTCCCTGGCGGCAGGCAAAGGCTCCACAGTGACAAAGGGACCCCACGGCATCTGAGTCTGTCCTGTAACACCAGTCCAGCTGTCCCACCTGCCCCGACAGAGCCTGGTTCTCTCCCTTGCACAGAGCAGTGTCGTTGCCACTTACCATCTGACACCTTTGCAAGGCAAGTCCTATTAAATAGTCAACAACCCTGGTTTCCAACGAGCAAGCTCTCCATTTCATTATCTGGCTCCCACCCATGAAATCAAGGGGAAAATTTTCCCAAAGACTGAGATTTAAGCTGGAAGCTTAATGACTGCTTTTCTTAGAGCACTGACTCCCTGTTGGTCAAAGACTGCACATTCTATGAGCCATATAAGTTAACATGGGGTCAAAATTCACAATGAAATTGGCCTAAATTGAAAGGAAATCGGGCAATGAAGTTAATGAAAAATGCTACTGAGCCTCATCCCTCCCTCCTGAATTCTTTTCATTAGGATTTCAAAGAAATACATGTTTGTCAAGGATGCATGGAAAACAAGCAGGTGCCTAGAGACACTGCGAGGGTGTGGCCAAGCTCCCGCAGCCCTGGACCTCCCAGGATGCCTGCAGTGGTACCCTTGTCACGCCCCCCAGGCCCAGCGATCAGGCCCTGCTTGGGTGAACTCCCCTGCATGATCACAGAACGCCACACCTCAGAAAGGAAACTCCAAGCAGTTTACTGCTTAGCATCTGAAACTTACCACCACCTTAGTAGCAAACATGTACTTGTCCCGAAGCTGAAAGTCCCGCACGTCCTCAAGGACCACTTCCTGGTTCTCCCGGGACTGGAAGAAGTCTGTACTTCGGAAAACGGTGGAGTAACCGGATGGCTCATGCCGTTCGATGTAGACGGTGTTTGGCTTGTCATAGGGATCAATTCCCCTAGCAGAGAAAAACAGCTGTTACCGTCTCCCCCAAATCTGACCCCTGGGGGCGAGGAGGTTCTGCCGGGGCGGGGCAGATGGTCAGCTAGAACTGCGGGCGCATGCCAGGTTCACTAGTGCTACCAACTCTCTCCGGTGGCCCCTCAGTGCCGTGCTGAGGGAAGGGGCTGCCATCTGTCAGGCCTTTTATGTCACTGCTGTTTTCGGAGCACCCTGGGTTTCCCCTCAGGGCAGACTCCGACCAACCTCAGTGGGGTAGAAAGAAGGAAACAACGCAAGTTTTCAAACCAGTACTTCTTGCTTGAGGCTGTCAGCAGGTTTCTGGCCTCAGAGTGAGGAACCTCAGAGGAAGAAAGGAGAGTGTTTTCCAAGGGGCTGCGTTTGGAGAAGAACAGAGGTACCCACACGAGGAGCCATAATGAGCCCTTTTCTCCATCTGTCTGCTCAGGGCTGTTGCTGTTGTCACCAATCTGGGCAACCAGCATCCACCCAATGCAAATTCACATCCTTGAGCCTCCTTCACAAGCTCCTTCTGGCACACGCTGGTCTGCTCAGGAACGCAGGCTCCTTTCCTCCCCTGTGCTTCGGTCCACTCTACACCCCTCTGCAGGGCCCCTTTGCCATTTGTGCTGGCCTGCACCTCTGAATCTTGCTCATCTTCTGGGGCCAAGTTCCTGTCCCTCTCCCCCCAGAGGCCTTCCCCTAACACTCTCGTCCTTCTCCGAGCACTGACAATGTATCTCTACAGCACTCAAGTTCAGGCCTTTTTAGTGAGATTTATGTGAGTTTCAAACAAAGGTAGAAAACTGCTTTGGTTGGGAGGGTTCTGAATCAGTCCCCTTACTGTACACAGGAGTGTTTCTTGTCATGTTATCTTGCACTGAATGTATGACATCACAATGTCCTGTGTTGTTCACCTCAGCCTGGCTGAGCTTCCTGGACAGTTGCAGAGGCCGTCAGAGCCCACGTCCTATCTCTCTCTATCCCTTCCTACCCGGCAGGGCTCCCACCTGCACGGACCCCCTGCTGCATGCGCTCTGTGGACCATCAGTACACAGACGATTCCAAATGGAAAACTGTGGCATGAGTTCAAACCACCTGGGAGGAGGTCTCTGAAGTGCTGCCCCTCCCCGCAGGTGCACCCCACACAGCAGCTGAGAGGATGGCTAACCTGCCTGCCCCAGGCTCCTGACACTTGCTCATAAGAACACCAAGGCCACGCGGACCATTCCCCAGGCGGAAAGTTAACTTAAAAATAGAGAGAACGAGGATGCAGCTGTGGCCCAAGGAAAGGCAGAGGTCTTTGGAAAGTTCCATCCTTTGTACAACAGCTCTCAGGATAATGAAAATATGATATAAAATTCCTTCAAGATATGCCATCAAAAGCACATTCTAAGAAAAAAGAAAGAAGGGAAAGGAAGGGGGGGAAGGGAAGGGAAACAAAAGAAAAGAAAGAATAAATGAAGAGAAAAAAGGAGGCAGAAAGAGAAAGGAAGATCAGAGCAGAAAAATAGAAGTCTCTTTTCCCAGTGAGGGGAAGTGATTTAGCCCAACAACCTGGGGTCGTAAGCAGGCGCCTCGGTCCTGACCTGGATCACCTGGCACTCTGTGTGCCTGTGTGAGAATGGCAGCAGGTTCTCTCCTTTTCCAGAATTAGAAGTACTGATTAAAGCACTTCCTCTCCTCTGAACGATATGCAAATTAAAATGAGGCTGCTGGATATTTTTAAAAAGGCAGAGAGGAAGGAACCTTTAATCAGATTTGAGAGCTCACCTCTACTCTTCCTCCTTAGCCAAAAGCAGCAGCCAAGATCTGAAACAACAGCCTTGACTTTCATCCCCATCCAACTCTGTCGTCAGACTCCAGCCTCCCGTTTCAGAAAGCCACTCCCCCTGCAAGTTCTGGGTGCCTGGCAGTGGCTGACCTTCCATTCTTACCTTCATTCAAGCCTAGTTCCCTTTCTCTTTGACCTCATTTGCAAATTCCAAGCCTTGCCAGACCTGACCTGGCCCCACCGTTCTCACTGGCCCCCCTGACCATCCTTTAGGGACCTCCACAGGGTAGTCTGGGGCCCCTCCCCCAAAGCTCTCAAACTGTCCCAATTTGTCAATCTCCAGCTCTGAATAACAAATCATGGGTTTTCCACTCCCCTGCGGCTGTTAAACTGACAAGTGTTTTGGAACAGAAGGGGGTGGGTTCGAGGGGTCAGATTATACTCTCACTTACAATAGATGATCCTCACAGAAAATCCCCCGAATTGCCTGAAACTCCCTGACACCATTCTGGTAATTATCTAAAATAAACCCATCCTTGCCTCTGAAATAGCCGCACGTCTGAACAGAGGCAGAAGGCACAACATACTAATTCCCAAATATGAAGTAACTTTTCTTAGTAATCCAGTTGGTCTGCCCTCTTAATATATAGTTCCCCCGAACAAGTAAAAGAGCAATGCATCCCTTTAAAATTCAAATGAGCAAAAGACACCCTGACTGGTATGGCTCAGCTGGTTGGGCATCATTCCACAAAGTGAAAGGTCACGGGTTCGATTCCTGGTCAGTCAGGGAGTGCAAGGGGCAACCAGTCAATGTTACTCTTATACATCAATGTTTCTCTCCCTCTCTTTCTTCCTCCCTTCCCCCTCTCCAAAAATAAATAAATAAATAAAATATTTTTTAAATATTTAAAAATATTAAAATACAAAAAATAAAATTCCAATAAGGCAGAAGAAAGAAGAAATCTCATCCAAGTGCAACTGCTGGGTAGGGGCTGCACTGGGGTGAGATCACGGTTCTAATGTCACTAGGACCCTACAACCTCTGCCCAAGGAAAACCACAAACAGGCCAGAAACAGCCGCCCTCTCTGAAGAGGCCACCCCCAGAGCCTGGAGACACCAGCTGCAAGGCTCCATCCTCCCTCAACCCCTAAGGAAGCAACACCAACCCAAAGACATTCCTCTTCCAACGGGACTTTGGAAAAAGCAGACGCTACCCAACCACCTTGCAGGGCCACTGCCTTTACTGAGGATTACAAGTCAAAAGGCAGGTGACAAACTGGAAAATATAAACACACAATCTATCTCAAATCACAAAGGACTAATCTCAAATATAACATGAGCCTCTAGAAATCAATAATACAACTACAAATCCAACAGAAAAAGGGTAAATGGCATGAACAGATATGTCACAAAAAAGATATAAAAACAAACATAAAGCAGGTTAAAAGATGTTCAAAATTATACATAGTAAGAAAAGCGCAGGCCTGGTTGGTGTGGCTCAGCGAATTGAGTGCCAGCCTGGGAACCAAAGGGTCCCCGGTCTGATTTCCGGTCAGAGCACGTGCCTGGGTTGTGGGCCAGGCCCCCAGTTGGGGGTGTACGAGAGGCAACCACACATCAATGTTTGTCTCCCTCTCTCCCTCCCTTCCCCTCTCTCTAAAAATAATAAAATCTTTTATTAAAAATAAGTGAAAAAAAATAAGCATAATAATAGCATATTAAAATGTGGTAAGTGCTATGCAAAAAACAAATAGATCAGGTTCAACAGATGGGGAATGGCAGGAGATTAGCTGCAATTTTATAGGGTCCTTAGGATAGACCTCATTTAGGGCAGTTATTTGAGCAGACCTGAATGAGGTAAGGAAGAAAGGAGAAACTATATCTTTTTTCTAGATAAAATGCTCTTACATTTTCTAAAGTGCAAGAGCATTTCAGGCAAAAAAAAAAAAAATGCAAACTGCCTCTGATAGGAATGTGCCCTGGCATTTAATCTAAGAGAAATGATGATGCATATTAAAGGGTTCAAAGCAGAGGAACAACATGATCTGACCTGCTTTCAACAGGATCAGTGCGGCTCTGTGCTGAGAATGAGGGCAAGAGTGGGGGTAGAAAGGTCGGCTGGAGGACCAGCGGGCACCGTGGCGGTGGGGGGGGAGGGGGCGCGCGAAGCGGCCGCTGAGCAGCGCACCTGGGGTCTGTGCTAACGGTGGGGCTGGCAGACGGATGCGCATGATGGACTGCATGTGAAGCGTAAAGCAGACGTGCGATCCACAAGGGCTCCAAGTTCTGACCCTGAGCAACCAGAACCTGAAAGCAGTTGGATCTGATTTGTGATGGTGAAGACCAAGAGTTAGGTCGGGAGACATCGGTTTGCCACAAGCGACCCACTGACAAGCAAGCCCGCTCCCAGGCGTCTATTCTACACATTCGCTGGCACGTGCACCAACTCAAGGCTACATGCCGAGTCCCTGTAACCGTAAAAGATCAGAAGCAACCAGGACAAGGAACAACTGTTGATTTCACTTTCCTTCTCAAAAACCTACAACGGTCCCCCACTGCTTTCGGAATTCAGTCTGAATTCTTTTTTTCAAGCACTACAGATTCTGATACAGACAGGCCTTCCCAAACTTTACCCAACACACGGCACGCCAGCCCCACACTGCCACATCTCCGCTCCGGGCCACTCTGTCCCTGCACCCCTGTACCCAACCTGCTAACGACGCCCCACCCTCTGCAAAGAACACGTCCCTCCTCTGCCTCCTCGGGCTGTGACGGCACGTGTGCTGTGCGCACAAATGTCTTTCCTCCCCTCCTAACCTTCAATATATCCACGAATGAGTGGACTCCACACACCCTAAAGCATATTTATCACATTTTACATTCAGCAGACACTGCAAACAACATGTTATGAAAAATCCCCACTTCTGATAAAACTGAAGGTCTTTACAAAGTGTCACACATGCCATAGCTCTAAGATTCCCCGGCTCCCTGAGGGACTGAAACCGCAGAAGCTCTGCACCAGCCCCCCCCCGCCCCCGCCCTGCCTCCACCGCACCAAGAGCTCCCTTCCTCATCCACCCCAGTGTGCCCGCTGCCCTCACGGGTCTAGTTCCCAGGTCTGGGGAATGTGCTTCCAGAACCAAATGCTGGGCACTTTGGGGGAGGGCGGGCTCAGCCTCTGCCAACAAGCTGGAACGGAGAAAAGGAGATTCTGTAGTTCCCGTTTCCCAGACCACGAGACTTACCACGCAAAGGACTTCACGTGCTCCTGAATTACGATCCAGGTCTGGCCGAAGTCGTCCGACTTCCACAGCTGTGGAGGCCAAAGTGAGGAGAAGCGGTCACTGAGCAAGAACCACACCCAGTGTGATGGGCACTGCCACGTCCCCAGGGAAGGGCCCCCAAAGCAGCACGCACTCTGGGAGGACAGGCACCTGGGCCGCCGAGGCGAGCGAGGGCAGGAGGCGAGACCAGACCCCCACCCTGTGCTTCGCTGGTCACTGTGGTCTCAGCAGAAGCCAGAATGGAGGTGACTGTGACCTGCCCTTCGTTTACGGAGGGTCGGAAACTGGGCTTCACTCAGACCAGCCCTTGGTGGACGGTGACCACAGAAGGACTATACTTCGTCCTTTTCACCTGGGAAAGTGTCCTCAGAAACAACAACGGCCATGGTGGCCGAAGCTGAATGGCAAGGACACTGACAACATGCAGAACCGAGAAGTACCAGGAAATCGACTGAACACACAGGGTGTGTCTGAGTGACTGACTCACCAAAGCCCCTTAACTTTCAGAGACAGTACCTGGGGCTCCCTCTTCCCATGTGTCAAGAAGAGGAGGCCAAAAATAACAACAATCCACCTGCACTGGTGAACTGCCCCCGCCCTCACTGCAGTCAGTCCCTAAGGCCTGTGGAGGTGAAGGAATCATGTTTTGGCTAGAGGACCTGCTGAGAAACGCAAACATCCCGAGGTTATTCTGAGCAAAGTCGTTCAAAACTCATTATAAATCCAACCCTGCAGGATCTAGAGGTTTCACAGGATTTCAGCAGAACCATTTTTTTTTTTAAATCCTCGCCCAAGGACATGCTCATTAATTTCAGAGAAGGGGAAGAGAAAGAGAGCGAGAGAAACATCTTGTGAGACTGCACCCCAACCGGGGACCCAACCTGCACCCAGGCAGGTGCCCTGACCAGGAACTGAACCTGTGACCCTTTGGTTTACAGGACAACACTCCGACCGCCTGAGCCACACCAGCCAGGACCACATCAATATTCTTGACTTGGCAAGTTTCTTACCCTGATGTATAAATCCTGCTAAGGCTCTGTCTCCCCATCACTCACCTTTCCTTCAAATTTGGATTAAGGAGGAAAATACACACATTTACATTGTGTGCACATGTACGCAAAAAGAATATCAGTGGCAATGGTAAATTCAAATAAAGGACAGGCAATGGCAGCACGTCCAGGGCAGAGAACAGAAAAGGCACAACAGAAAGGTGACAGCTCCCGGCAGAGCTGTGACTCCGGACTTCCTACCTGGCTCTGATTCATCTCCAGAGCCTGACAAAGGTGCATCGGCACCAAACAGCACATTGTATTCAATGAACAGGGCCTGCCAAGTGCTACGTGCTGCCCTCTGGCTGGGATGTAGGCTGAGAGAGCGAGAGGCTGCATTTTTCCTGAGCCATGGGAAGTGAAACAGCTACAAAGGCTAAGGCCGAGAGAGAAGGGGGTGGGGCCAGGAGGAGGTCATGCAAAGGACCTACAAGTCCTGTGTGGACACCAAGTCCACACAGACAGAGTGTAACAGAAACCTCGAGGTGCCCACCTGACCGGGTTCCAGAAGCTCTCTTACCTGCTTGTTGGGGTGAGACCTGTCATAGCCCAGGAGGAGGTTGGAGGCCTTGCTGTGCAGAAGGAGATCAGCTGCCCGGAAGGGGATGGAGAAGCCTTCGACAGTGCGGCAGAAGTCGAATGTGATCCAGAGGTACTGGGCATAAGCATCCACAAAGATGTACTGCAAGAGAGAAGAGGTAAGCTCAGAGCAGGGCCTGGCCAGAGCCACTCAAGCCCCTCACACCACATCTGTGTGCATGCACACCCAGGGGCCAGCTGCACCAGTGAGGGGCCAAGGGCCCACCAGGCGGTCTGCACAGTGCTCTCATCATCCACCAGCAAGAAAGTGATGCCGGTGCACACCCCAGAGAAGGCTCAGCTGGGGAAGGGCTGCAGGGTGGGCCGGAGGGGAGCCAGACCATGTCCACCAGGTCACGAAGTTGGTCAAGCCAATTTTTACTCTCAAATGACTTAGATGTGCTCACTCCGTGGTAAGTCACTTGGTTACCGTCAAAGGGTGGCTACTGAACGCCAGGACACCGAAGTCCCCAGGCTGGCCACACAGAGGGACTGCTGTGCATCTTCTGATGTGCCATTCCAGGAAAATCCCTAAAGCTACACCCACTGAGGAAAATTAGCTTCACGCTCTCCCCACTACCCCAGGCAAGGGGGAGCCTAGGAACTGGGCTGCCCCTGGGTTGGCCACCTCAGGCTCTGGTGCAGCAGGAAGCAGCTCTGTCCAGCAAAAGCCTCACCTCAGTCACAGCTGAGTGTGACTTTGAACAAGTCTGGCTAGAGAGGGACAGCCAGGCTAAAGAGTTTCTGAGGGGACAGGGTGGACGCAGCGCAGTCTAACAAACATGCAATTGGGGGGCCGCCGTGAAAACACAGCGTCCCTCCACGCAGCAGCTGCGGCTCTGAAGTGGGCGGAGGCATATCCACCGAGAATTATAGTTCGAGAGAAAGTGAGATCAGATGAGAAGCCCTGATCTGTCATGTAGAGCAAAGGCTCAGACAAGCCCTGGTTTTGGAGGTCGGAAATGACAGGCAGGCGAGACTGCCAGGGAAAGAACACTCCGAGAGCAGTCTGCATTTGCAAACAGGGGAGGGAAAAACATGGGGCAGGCGTATCAACAGCTCTCGAGAGCCTGAGGGAGCCAATCAAAAAATGGGGCTGGAAGACAGTGACAGCAGGCCCTGAGAGCACCCAGAGTCCCCATGACAGTCCCTGCTCCCAGAAGGCAGCCGGCGGGGGTGGGGCACAGGCCTGGTGGACCCTGTGAACCGGAAACTAGAGCAAGGGGGAGCCAGCCACTGAGACTCTCGCAGTCAACAGTCCAGAGCAATCAGTCCAAAGCACTTTCCTTAACTGATTCCACCTGACCCAGGCCACTCTCCAGCTCCAGGTCCTGTCAGCACCGACACTTCATACTTGTTCACATGCTGCTTTCATATGTTCTCACCCTGTACTCTCCTCTCCCCAAATCTACACTGTAAACTTCCCAGGAAGATGTTCTATGTGTTCTTTCCCTCGCGTTTCCTCCACATCATATAATGTAAAACTCTAATCTCCACAGAAGCCTGAGTAAAACTACCTCTAAAACGTACTAAATCTTTGGAAAGAAAAACTAGTCTAACCCTGGCTGGTGTGGCTCCGTGGATGGAGCGCTGGCCTGAAAAACCAAAGGGATGCCAGTTTGATTCCCAGTCAGGGCACATGCTAGAGGTGCGAGACAGGTCCCCAGCAGGGGGTGTGTGAGAGGCAACCACACATTGATGTATCTCTCCCCTTTCTCCCTCCCTTCCTCTGTCTCTAAAACTAAATAAATAAAATCTTTTTAAAAAAGGAAGAAAAAACTATTCTAAGCAAATGGATGTCATGCAAACAATTATGATCCTGTGAGTGCCATCATAATTTTTTGCATGAAAGTGTTCCTTAGAAGTGACCACCCATTCTCCTGTTGGAAACCTCTGTGATTGCTGGGAAAGGGAGCGCTCTAAGTCTGAAAGGAAGTCCGCCCCGTGGCTTCCTATAGCTCCACATTCTAGAGTCTGAAAACCCTGCATCCAGTCACAGAACTGACTACTGTTCAGGATAACAGCTAACATTTTTCAAGAGCCTTTACTACGTGCCAGGCACTAAGCAGCCGTTTTGCATGCCTTACCTCATTTAGTGCACTTAGCACTCACTCACAGCCACGCAATGCTTAGCTGTTGTCATTACCTCCTCTTTTCCTCATGAGGCCCCTGAACCTCAGGGAGGTAACTGCCCAAGGTGACCCAGGAGGAAGCAGCATTCGCAGCAACGTCTGGCTGCTTCAAAGCCCAACTCTAACAGCTCGTCAATGCTTACTTCCTCTCTCCCAACAAAAGGGCAACATTTTCTGAATTTAATTCATAGGTCTTACACTGTACTACTGGACTCACTTATATGCCTTCTCCCTTAGTTCACTCCTTTGACTGGAAACCCTCTCCTCTCTTGCCTTCTGCCATGTGGTCCCATCTTCACCCTCCCTCACCCACCACTGGCCACCCATCCTTGACTCTCAATGACTCTCCTATCTCGGTCCGCGCCCGAACTGCACATAACCTCACCACTCTTCCCTCCTTGGCTGAGAATGTGGCTTATCCTTCTACATAGTTTGAGCGGCTGCCTCCAAGAACAAGCAAGCATTTCCGCAACCTTCACATCAACTATCTAACCATGGCGTCTCACTGCAATTCCAATGTCATTACTTTCTTCATCTTCTCAGTATCTGCACCTTGACGTGCCAAGATGTTTCACCAAGTCCAACACTGAACTCGTGGATGCCTTCTCAGCGAAGCCCAATGGTCACTCCCTCCTGGGGTCGCACGTCCCATCCACACGCACCTTGTTCCAGCTCCGCTCCTCCGACACTTCTCAAACCCTTCCGTTCAATCCACCCTGCCTACTCCCGAGGACACACATTTCCCAGAGATGTTACTGCAGACAACTCCTCAAAGACTCCTCCGGCTACCTACAGTCTTCAAAGCGAAAGCAAGCTCCTGCCTCTATAGACAGGGGCCTGCCCGACACCATGAAGGCCCTCAGTGCTGACCATTCCCCCGAGACACGGCCCCGCCTGCACAGAAACCACACACTGGGCTTTGCAGTCTCCACACAAGCCCTTCCCCTTCTCTGGGGCTCCCAGTAGCTCTGCTCCCGCCAGCTCATGCCTGTGCTGGAAGCCACATTCACTAACCCTGAGCACCCTGCTCACTGGGTGCCTTTCCTTCTCCACTCGAACCTCACCCAGTTCCCCAACTCCAACTGCCTGTGGGTCCCAGTTTGTCACATGGCCATGTCACACGTGCATGTACAAAGAAGCCACAGAACATCTACCTCTGCTTCTAAGTGTCTGCACTTCCCTGCCTACCAGTCTCCCCAAGGTCAACCCCACGGATCCGCCAGCAGAGTTGACCTACAAGGCACTTCCTCAAGTAGGCAGTTTCAGGATGTCTGCACGTAGCCCAGCCCTCCAACCCTGTCTGCAAACACGTGATATTCCAGAGGAACATCATGCTGGGTGTCGCTGCTCCCTCTGAGTATACCAACACCTCTGGAAAGATGACAGCAGAAGCGACCTCCATGCCAGCCAGGAGACACTCTCCAGCTGGAGGGCAGACGGCACAGCACCTGGGAGGGAGGATGCAGCCAGTGAGGAGGGAAGCAATGCAGAAGCACCCCTCGGGGAGGCAGACAGAGGAGAGCTGCCTCCGCACTTCGCCAAGGCCGGGCCTCACCACTGCTGAGGTCGAGAGCCCTGACTGCCACATGCTGTGGCCTTCCTAAAGAGCCTGACATGTTGAGACACCACCTGACTATGCTATTTGGCCAGGGGACTGACAGGTGGCCTGTGGGGTGCCCGGGTCAGCAGGCAGCAATCGGGTGGAGAAGAAGGAAGTGGGATGCAGGCTCAGGCAAAACAGGTCCACACCCTCCCGTGAGGCACAGCCACGCTGTCGCCAACACAAGGCGAAGTCACGGGACCAGCGCTGGCCGCGGCACCAGCACCTGCTTTCCCTTCCACAGGGACACACCCCTGAGACTTCATGTGGCCCTTTGGTGACATCGTAACTGTGCTGAGCACATACATGCTCACAGTCATTTCAATCACTGCAAGTCGTCATGCTCCTCGAGAGCCCACCCAACAGTGGACACAGGCGGCCTGGCTGGGCCCAGGGCCTTCCTGCTGACGGCAAAGCACCAGCCTCATGTGACTCTTCTCAGGAAGTGGCAGGTCTGGTGCAGCAACGGCCTTCTGAGGGATGGAGGCAAAAGTAGTAGAGATCAGCAGAGAAAGAGTCATCACTTCCTTCCTGAGACGTCTGGGGAGGGTCGCAGCCTCCTCAGGGGAGTGAGAAATTCAGCAGAGAAAGCTCCAGGCCGCCCAGGCCCAGCCTGCTGCCCCTAAGTTCTCCAAGAGGCAGCCCCCTTCACACTGCACACCAACTCCAAATCACATTCAGCTGCACCCCAAGAAGCATGTGAGGGGCTCCCCCTGAGGCAGGCCAGCCCCAGGCTGCAGGCACACAGCCCCTCCTCTCAGCACCAGGTTTTTCCCCCCTCACCCCAGAACCTGGCCCTACCTTGCTCCTTCTCCAGACCTAATGCTCAGAAAGCCTGACCCTCCCCCGGCACCAAACCTGCCGGCAGAAGCCCACGCCACCCCCTTTCCCGTCTCTGACTCCTCCAACACGCGGGCTCAGCAGCAGCTGATCACAACCCATAACAAGGGAGGACCCCTGTGCCCCGTGGCGGGACGTGCAAGAGGGAGAGGCGGCAGGAGAGGAAGACTGCAGAGAGACAACGTGGAGCTTCAGGGCCACATCTTAAGCAAGTGTTAGCTCTGGGAAGATGTGCAAAAACAATGACAACAGCAGGCAGGTCCAGCCTGACAAGTTGGGCACCGGATGCTTGCAAGGTGGGGGCACAGGCCTGTCCACGGGGAGATAGGCCCAAGCAGCCGATTGGGCACTGGGCAGGGCTCCTCCCCTCAGGAGAGGAGCCTGTGAGTCCCAGCTGCCACACAGGCCTGGCCACGGTTGGGGTGGGGGAAGCCAGAGGGCCAATCCCCTCAACACCTTTTCTGTGCTTGTCACCACAGGAGGACCTGCTCTGTCACTGGGAGTCTGGTAAGAGGAAAGTCTGTCCCTGGCGGCCACTCCACTTGGAGACCATCGCGCACAGCTGCCGCATGACCAGTGAAGCCCAGTCGCAACTATTCCAGGTGTTTAGAAAAACTGCTTCTGCCTGGCTGGCGTAGCTCAGTGGATTGAGCACAGGCCTGCGAACCACATGACTGCAGTTTGATTCCCAGTCAGGGCACATGCCTGGGTTGCAGGCCAGTTCCCAGCAGGGAACTCACGAAAAGCAACCATACATTGATATTTCTCTCCTTCTCTCCTTCCCTTCCTCTCTAAAGATAAATAAATAAAGATAAATAAATAAATCTAAAAAAAAGAAAAACTGCGTCTGTGCCCCACTTCCCCCAAACCTGCGAGGGGCACTTCCTAAAACCCCAGTGGTCCGGCCTCTTCCCAAAACCTCCCCAGAGCCCAGGACTGAAAGGTGAACACAGCCCAGCAGGGCGGCTTTCAGGACCCAGCTCCCCCAGGCAGTTTGGGTTGGTCACGGTCACTCCAGTGGCTGAGCATTCTGAACACAACCTCTGCTAACAGACCACAGGCAACCAGAGAGGCCAGCACGGGGCAGGGGGCAGGAACCCTGTGGTCCTACCTCTCTTGTCCCTTTCTGGCTTGGCAAAGAGCAGCAGGTACCCTTACCTCGGAAAGCTTTTGCCACTAAGGAGTTTTTAGCATCCTTAGAAGTGGCCATCCTACCCTGGAAATGAGTTAGGGACCGTGACGGTGGGGATGAGGGCAATCAGGAACCATGGTCTTGCTGAGCTACGGTTCCCTCACAGGAGGAGCCTTGCCGGGGACTGACTCCTGCACCCCAGTCATGCTCCCTGTCACCCTGGGGCCGGGGCCCCTTCCTCTGGGTCAGACTCCAGCCAGCTGGGAGAACACACTGCCTGGTGTCCTTTCCCACGCCCATGCGAGCCGGAGGGAGGAGGACACATGCACGCACACACACAAGCAGACACGTGCACATATGCATGCACATGCACGCATGCACACACACACCAGTGGTGCCAAGCAAGCCACGAGTTCAGCAGCCACTTGGGAAGACTGCAAGATAAGTCCCAGGGGACCGGGTAACATGTTTGCCACCTATGAGTCAAGCAAGTTATTCACTGACAGATTTTTTGTGCTTTAGGCTGCCACTGTTTGTCTGAGAATCCTGCCTAGCCAGCACGTGGCCTGCTTGATTATGCAGGTTTCACCTGGAAAACGGTGCTGTCGCAGGCCCCAGGCTAACAGAAAAGCAGCCACTGGCTCCCAGTCATGCTACCAGATGACGAAGCCCTCCACCTCCCAGCCCCCAGGTGCCACTGACTTCCCAAAACGCAGCCCCATGAAGTCGCCCCAGGTGGCCCCGCTGCTGCTTCCTCACCCGCTTGTTGTCCGCAGGGCTGTGGTAGAACTGGGCGATCACAGCTTCACTGCCGTTTCCCGCACCAAAGTGAAACTTCTCTGATATTTTCTGAAACGATTTCCCGTAGTCATAAGACACGTACACCTGGTATATGGAGGAGGAGGAGAGGAAGAGGAAAAGAGTTGGTGAGAAATGTGGCGGAGAGGCCTGTCACCTTCCAACACCTGTCTAGATCCTGTCCCAGACCCTGAACGTGGTTTCCCAGCCAGACCCTGCGCAGGCAGAGGTGGCCCCCAAAGCAGAGGCGGGGCACCTCTGTCTGTCCCTGCACATGGGGCAGAGAGCACTGCCGCCCGCAGCCCACAGGCCTCTCCGCCAAGGAAGACACCCACTGACACAGTGACAACCGCCTCCCCCCACAGCTGAGGCAGGCGTTTCATCACTCACATCCAGGGCAGACAGATGGGAAGAACGTGCATGTCTGAGGGACAGGGGTTGAGAATTTGCTTTGCCCTCTATCGGACTGTCCTCGAAAGGTAACCTCATCCCTCATCCCCATGCTGGGAAGTTCTGCTCTTACGGTATTCCAGAAGACAGGAAAAGAGAATCTGTGTAGGAGCCCTAGCCCATGTGGCTCAACTGCTTGGGCGCCATCCAGCACAGCAAAAGGTCACTGGTTCGATTCCTGGTCAGGCCACATGCCTGGGCTGCGGGTTCAGCCCCCACTGTTGAGGGGCATATGAGACACGACCGACCCGTTTTTCTCTCTCGCATGGATGTTTCTCTCCCTCTCGTTCTCCCACCCTTCCCCTCTCCACAAATAAATAAAATCTTTAAAAAAATCCTTGTGAGTCTCCATAGAACAGCCCAAAAGGTAGAAAAGACTGAGGGTTAAGAGAGTAAGTGTGCAGAGAGGTGAAACGCGTGGGCACCAGCAGCCCTTTCCCTTCTGAGCCTGCACGCCGGGAGGCCCTGAGAAGACACAACTGCGGCAGCACCCACGCGCACCCTGACAGCCTCGCCTCCCCAGCGGGGGTCTCCGGGTTCCCAGTCACACGGCAGCCACCGCATGAACACGCAGGCAGGCCTGCCCTGGCCCGTGTGTGTGCTCACCGGGCGCCTGACCCTGCCCCAGGGCTTCCACACACGAGCTCAGGGAGCGCTCACCACAGCCCAGGCTGGCACGAGCAACATGGAAACCATACTCAGAAAAGACAGCGGGGGCTTACAAGATTACCCATATTTTTCAGACCATAAGATACACCTAGCCTGGCTGGTGTAGCTCAGTGGATTGAGCGCAGGCCTGCGAACCACAGGATCGCAGTTCGATTCCCAGTCAGGGCACATGCCTGGGTTGCAGGCCAGTTCCCAGCAGGGGACTCATGAGACAACCATACATTGATATTTCTCTCCTTCTCTCTCCTTCCCTCCCTCTCTAAAGATAAGTAAATAAAATCTTTTTAAAAACCTTTAAAAAAAAAGACACACCTAGGTTTCAGAGGGGGGAAAATAGGAAAACAATTTTTGAAGCAAAAAAATGTGCTAAAATATTTAATAATATAAATAACATAATACTTCACCAATGTAAATGTAAACGAAACTCAAAGGCAGCACGAACAACCATTATTCCTCCCAAATTGGGGTGGGAGGAGGGGAGAGGGGAGTGCATCTTATAGTCCGAAAAACAGGGTAGTTTCCTGCCAGAGCAAGTCAGCAGGTGAGCAGTGGGACTCCGACACAGGCTGCTGCCTCTGGGCCAAACCCTGAAGGCCGGGACACCTCGAGTACAGGGTGCTAGAATGGGGGCTCTCCAACCGTCTGTGCCTAGATTGTACCACCTGTGCAACGTGAAACATAATATAATCAGACAATTAAAAACAAGGCTGACAGATGAACAGAATACGAATAATAACTTACTTAGAACTGGGTGAGCAAAAGGAAAGATGACAGATGAATTCCAAGAGAAATGGAAGCTGCTAGACTCCTTCCAGAAAGTAGGCTGCCTTCAGCACCCACTGGCCCCACAGTGGCCCTGCCTGCAGGGCTTTACATAGGCACTGTGCCAGATGCCAGGCGCCAGGCACCAAAGACACGGCCTCTGACAGAAAGTTAAGAGAGCAAGTTCACATTAGGGAAACACCCCTCGGAATACAGTGCTGTTCTGTTTACATTGCATCCCTTCGTCTTCAGAAACTCTGTGAGCTGTTCTCACCTTGGCCTCCATCAGTACCTGGAACCCCGAAGGCACTCAATGAAGACGTCTGGAGGGAATAAATACCAACCACTGTGAACCAACAAGAGAGCAAGTGCATGCGTTCCATAATGAACGAAAGAGCAAATTCAGTGACTCACTAAGTGACTGAGTGACTAATGAAGAAATGAGAAAAACTAAGCCTCAGAGAAGTGGACGACTAGCCAAAGGTCACACAGTGTGTAAATGACAAAACTACTATGACAGGCCCCTCCAATTCCGAGTCCAGGTACGTCAGCCTCCAAGGAGACCGCTGCCTCCCAGATGGCAGCACTTCTCTGCAGAGGAGGGTGCCTGCCAGCCCTGCAGGCCAGGCTGTGGAGGGACCTCCTGCCAACAGCGGCAGCAGCAGGCTGCCTCCCCTACGCCCACCGCTTGCCTGGGAACCTCACCCCTCTGCGCTTCCCACTGGAGGGACAGCGGCCCTCACACCAGAAAGCTCTGCCTTAACTGTCACCTGTAAACGAAACCCTCTCTTTGGACTGCTTACTTAATGGAAGTTAATAGTAAGTATGCAAATACCATATGATTTCACTTAGGTACAGAATCTAATGAACAAAATAAACTAAAAAAAACCAGAAATGGCCTCACAGATACAGAGAACAGACTGATAGCTGTCACAGGGGGTGGGGTTCAGGGGGCTGAAAAGTGAATGGATTAAAAAGAAAAAACCTAATAGAAAACAATATGGTGATTACCAGGCAGAAAGGGGGTGGCAGAGTAGAAGTGGGGATAAATGGTGATGGAAGGAGACTTGACTTTGGTGGTGAGCACACAGTGCAATATAAGTTGGGAACCGCCCTTCCTGGTTTCAGAAGCTGTAACCATCCCCACCCCCCCACCCCCCATGGCTAAGGCTGAGTGAGAGACCTTGGAACCCTAAGCCACTAAGGAGACAAAGCTTATTTTCCTGGAAGGGACGACCCCCTCTGCCACCTTTTACTCCACCCTGCTTGGCCCAGGGCAGATGACTGGTTAGTCGACAACGGGTAAGATTCCTCAAGAGGGAGATGACCTAAGACAGGTATGATCGTGAAGGGACCCTCAGGGAAGGACATGGGGGGCTATAGAGAAAGGGGGTGATGGACCCTCACCCCTCAGCTTTGACATAGCATGAGTCCTCATTCTGTGTGCAAGAACTCTCCTAATCTCTTGGCTGCCTTACTTCCCCTACCTGACTTAAGCCTGAAACAAAGAGGTGGGTGCGGCCCTGTGCTGGAAAGGGTGGGTTCCCAGGGCAATCAGGCCTAAGAAAGAATGCATAAAATCCTGTGAAACCTGCTTTGTTTAGAATGCTATCAATTAAACAAGCAGCAAGTATGTTCCTCACAGTTTTATGGCCCTTTAGCTAACTGACTCTGACTCAAAATAGGCCCTCAGAGTTCTTCGAATGTTATCTATTGTTTGATCCTTACTACCTGACAATGATTAATGAGCTTTACCAGTATTCCTGTGCAAAATGAACCCAATAGAAGCCCACTGAAAAACAGGCTCCTGGCCCTTCTCCTTTGAGAGATCGGCCACTTTTCCTCCCCAAGCAGATCAAGTCTTGATAGACTCATTCTCATCTGTTCATCTGTGGGATGGGGGGGGCCTGCAGGCAGAGCCCCCCCCCACAAATATATGTGATGTTTTATACAATTGTGTACCTGAAACCCATATGATTTTATCAACCAATATAACCCTGATACATTCAATTAAAATTTTTTTTTAAAGAGTGTGTATGTAAAGGTCCATCCTACACCTAAAGGCTCTCATATTGCTCACAAACCTTCCTTCCTTCTACAGGTTAAACAATTCTGACATGATTTATCCTATCCCAATAATTCTTATTTGTATTTGATTAACACAGACTCTAACCTCAAGGGCAAGACCAAGCTCAGAACTGTGCCCAGTGACCCACTTTCCTCCACCGGCCCAGCCCCTGTTCAGACGGTGCCGGGGGCCGAGGGCCTGTGAGCTCCACATTGCACCCCCCACTCTGCACCCTCCACCCTGCCCACCACGCTCCGGCTCATCCGTCTTTTCTCCAGGGCAGCCCCAGACTCATGCCCTGCCCCCAGGATGGCCAGGACAAGTAGGCCAGCACCCTGTACTCGGTTACCTTGTCTACACCAATCAGTCCTCACTCACCTTCACAATGCTCACTACTCCCTAAGGAACAAAATAAAAAGGGAAGGAGTTACTAACCTGCCAAAAGCTACTACCTACAAAGGCAAGTCCTTCGAAGTGAATGATTTTAAATTACTTTCCCTCTACTTCAAAACCATGTAATGATATTAGGAAGAAGGAGAGGGGAAGAAGGGGAAGACAGAGGGAAAGGCAAGGAAGAGCAGCTTAAATGTACAGGAGACAGCTCCTACCTGGCACTGTTCTGAGTACGTTGGCACCAGTGCTTCCCCAACTGTAAAAGGCCCTCAAATCGCCCAGCAGGACGCTGGTCTGAGTGCAGGTTCTGACTCAGGAAGTCTGGGGCGAGATGTGAGAGTCTGCATCTCTACCCAGCTCCCGGAAAATAGCCACAGTTGCTGATCCATGTCCCTCAGGAGGCAGAGATTTTTAGCACTACTGTCTCACAGACAGATGAGGAGACCAAGAGAAAGCTGAAGGCTTGGCCTGAGGCCAGACTGGTAGCAAGCAGCAGACCCCGGCACTGGGGTTTCAGAGCCAGCACTCAGCTGGACAGCATGTCCCCACCTGGGCTGCCGAAGCCTGCCCTGAGAGGAAGACATTATTCTGGAAAAATGTCACTGCAGTCAACATTGTTTAATTATAAGATGGATGTGATGCCCTGGTTTGCATCAGTTCGCCTATGGTAAAACTGGGTTCACTGTCTTTCGCCTCAAGTCACAGAGCATTAAATGAGGACCCACTTACTGGCCCCACTGCCCAGTCAACCCTGAGGGGCACCAACCACACATCTTGCCACTCTGGGTGCAAGGGCAACAAGTCCTGCCATTCCCAATATGCCCTCTGGTTGACCCTGATCTTGTGGTGGGCACTATCTCTGGACAGCTCTTTGGTCAATTATGTTGCATCCGACTACTTCCCCAAACAGGAGAGAACAGAAACACAGAGGTGGGAGGGGTTAGTATAAATAGCATCCATTGTTTCTTTGCATCTCCCAGACCTGTCACAGATAAAGAGGGAGCTGAGGAGCTGCCCTTCACAGAGTCACAGCTGCTACAGGGTCATCCACCCTCTACAGGTTCACACACCTGCTACAGGCTCATGCACCTGATACAGGGTCACACAACCACTAAAGGTTCACACACCTGCTACAGGGTCACACAGCAGCTACAGGGTCACACACCTGCAACAGGTTCACACACCTGTCACAGGTTCACACATCTGCCACAAGTTCACACACCCACTACAGGGTGTCGCAGCAGCTACAAGTTCACGCACCTGCAACAGATTCACACACCTGCTACAGGGTCACACACTTGGGCCACAGGTTCACAAGGACATGCATTTTTGCCCCTGGTTTGACGGCTAGACTTCCAGATCCCATCCTCCAGGCCCCTCCTCTTTCCAAACTGAAAAGCCACGAGCTGGCCACTCTCCAGCCCTCGCAGTTGCTCCTTTCTGCAGGTTCTTTCCCTTCTGAACTGGCAATGGGCCTCATAGTTGGTCTTCTTTATAGAAGATGTGATTGTCCCCAAGCTGACACCAGCAACCGCTGCATGAATCAACGATTTATTTCTGCATTCAGTTTGCACATCAGAACAAGTCCTCTTCATCAACCAATTCTCTAATGCAGCTTGTACTTGTGCGGGGATCTCTGCCAACCCTTTTGTTACTTCTCCATGTAACATTTCCTTTGCCTTTAGTCTGACATCTAGGTCTCTGGAACAGGGCATTACTTCGAAGGTGCAGTGGTTCCTCATACATACATCCAAATACTGAGGCAGAGGAAGAGCTGGGTTTGGGCAGACTGGCCATATCAAGGTGACCACCCATCCAGCTCACCCAAGGCTGAGCATGGTCCGGAGACATGGGACTTCCATGCTGAAACCCAGGCAGCTGCTCACCATGGCAACACTGCATCCTCACATGCCAGCATGGACTTGGGCCTGAAGTCATCAGCTTCTGCTGTCCCACAGACATGCTCAGTCACCTCATGCAAGTCATGTAGTGTCTCTGGCCTCCTGCTTGTCCAGCAAAACCATGAAACACCCATTATGGTCTTTATCTATCTCACAAAAAATATTACTGGGCAAGCAGTTTTTGAATGCATAAAAACCCTAAGGAGGGTTTTCTCAACAGTAGGGTATGGGGGCAAGTTTTCCCACAAGTCCCCCCATTCGACATGGACGAAAGTAAACACTACCAAGACATGATCTGCTTGGGGAGGAGAGGTGGCCAGTTTCTCAGAGGAAAAAGGCCTGGAGCCCCTTCCTCCAGGGACTTTTATTGGGTTGTAACACACAGGAATACAGGGCGGCAAGGATCAAACAGTAGATAACATTTCAAAGAGATCTGAGGCCTTAGTCTGAGTCAGAGTCTGTCAGGAAGGGGATTTGCAGAAACTTTGGGGGGCATATTCATTTCCTGCTTGGACACTTATCATATGAATGAAAGCACTCTTATCAGAGCAGGTTTCACAGGTTTTTGAGGAATTCTTTGTGATGCCAGATTTTTTTCCCCAGAATCTACTCTAGCAAGGCAAGGAGCTGCATCCCTCCCCATCAGGTTTTCGGGCTTACATGGTTTAGAGCCAAGAAGCACTTCTCCCAGAGGACATGGGGACTCAGGCTATGTCACATAGCCAGGGGGCAAGAGTCCATTGCTTGCTCTTTGTTGCGGCCCCCTGAGTCCTTCCATAATCGTCTCCCAAATGATCATGTCTGGCTTAGGTTGCTCCCCACTGTGAGGAGACTTACCCATCAACAACACAGACCAAGCTTTGGGGGCAGGGAGAAAACTGAGGCAGCATTTGCTACCAGAGACAAGCCTCATCTCCTGTGGCTCACATTCCAGATGTCACTCACTCATCCTTAGCCACGAGAGGTAGTTACAATTCCTGAAACCAGGCAGAGTGGTCCACAAGAGTGGGGCACTGAGCCACCACTTGCACTCAAAAGGGACACCTACAGGTGGTAGCCACATGGAACACACCCAGGTGCCTACAGATTCTCACAGGGCCAGCAGCGCCCACATGCTGCCATCTGTGCTCATGAACCCTGGTCAAGTTTATTGATGGCCAAAGTCACTGCCCCACAAAGCTGAGCCCCACTTCCAATCATAGCCCCAGTGTGGCTGTCAGGTATCTTGGCTTCCCACCTGCCACTGCTCAGCAGCTGCCCTGGGCAGGGCTCTGCTTTAGCACAGCCAGCCCTTTTTCTGTCCTCCCCGCCTGTAGCTTCTCCAATTCATTTGCCTACCCCAGAGCACATCCGACCCCCAGGGAGTGGACACAGAGGGACCTCCCAGAAATGAGATCTGTACTCACATATGACAACTATGCCCTTAGGCTGATGTGACAGGAGCTTCCTCTGGCCAGAGCAGACTGACCAAAGCGCCACAGCTTGCTTTTCCATCCACAGTGTCACCTGGTCACCACGTCGGACCCTGACCCCAGGCAGGAACTGCTCCTCTTCCCTCTGAAGGGCATTCTGGAGCACCGGCCAAAGACAAGACCCAAGGCCAGCTCTGGCCCTTGTGTGTTTTACTTGTCTTTCACGTTGTATGTAAAAACTGCACTTTAGCTGCAAAGTTGTAAGAATCAGCAGTTTTCACATAAAAATCTAGATCTCTGAGCTTCTCCCGAAAAATAAGAAGACCTGGCAACACTGGGTCCTGCTGTCTGCAGGGCAGCTGAGCCAAGACCCCTGACAAGAGCCCCCCAGAGCCCCAGTCCGTAGCATCTTGCAGACACTGGGACTGAGCACCACTCCCCAAGCTCAAGTTAAGACTCGGGCAAATGTTTCTGGAACCTGTATCTCCACTGAAAGTGGAAAAACCACAATTTCCCCAGAGGGCCATGTACTTCAAGAAAAACGGAGAGACCAGTGTTCTTTGTGGAGGTGGAGAGCACTGCGACCCAGGCCTCCACCTGTGTGGCACTTGGCCTCATACCTTCAAAGCACCTGAACTATCAAACACGGTTCGGGGTCACTGTGGAAATTACAGGCATGAGCGAATCCACCCTGACCCATGTGGCTCTGCAGGTTGGCGTGTTGTCCCACAAACCGAAAGGTCACAGGTTTCGATTTGGGTCAGGGCACATGCCTGGGTTGGGGGTTCGCCCCAGTTGGAGGTATGAGATCGATGTTTCTCTCCCTGTCTTCCCTTATCTCTAAAAAATAAATAAATAAAACCTTAAAAAATAATCTGAGCAAATCCAACTCAACTATTCACCCTTTTGTAAGGTATCTACAGCAATGAGTGCATGGGGAAGCGGCTCGCTGGGCCCTGCGGCGGACACGCAGCTCTGCCCAGGACTGCACCATGGCATTCTGCTGAACAGATACAACCACTGGGATCGAGCCCCAGTACTGCACACTGTGGGGTGCACACGTCACACAGCTGTGCTGGCCATTGACTGCACAACCCTGTGCTCAGCGAGCAGGTGGCATTTACTATTTCCTAGATTCCACACTCTGTGAAGAAGCCCATCCCGCCCACGCTCCAGGGAGCCACCTGGCGGACCACCGAGGGCCCGGGCAGCACAGAGGAGCTTTGAGAGGTGCCGATACTCACATCACTGCTCCTGGGCCTTGCCAGCGCCAGGCTGTCTCGGGCTAAGGCCACAATCACGTTGCTTTTCTCTCCAGCCCAGTGCACCACCATCTGATTGTGGGAATCGTTCAAGCTGACCTACAAGAGGGAGAATCAACACAGACATCAGGGCCCATAACAAGGGATGGCCATAAACATTCTTACCCACGACTCTCTTCCCTTGTCAATCAGAAATGACTAAGAGACTTAAATCTGGAGCACAGGGCCAGGGTGGCCTATTTCCCCCCCTATTCAGATTTTGCCAGACTCAGTTCCCTCAAGAAGTAGCATTAGTCCTCTGTTGTATAAAAAGTAACAGGACTGCAAAAGGCCCAACAGGCTCTCATTGGTACAGCCAACGACTCTGCCTCCTTTTGTCCTTTGTGAAATAGATCTCTGGTTCCTCTCATCTTTACTCAACATGGGACATGCACTCCCAAACGGAAACACCTTCCTGGTTCAAAATCGTGCACAGGCCAGAGAGACCCCACACGCTCCTGTCTCCGCTAAAACGTGTGCTCTGGCCCTCAGGTGCCGGCGCTCATCCTTAGCTCAGAACAAGGAAGACGGAGAGAAAAACATCAATAAAACAGCAGCTTTATTCAGTTAGCTTTGAAGTGTCCCAAATAAGGAAATACTTTCTAGGCCTTAAGAGAAACAACCTTTGGATTTCTGTTAGCAGAAGCTCCCATGCTCCCGAATTTTTTAAACCAGTAAAATAAAAATAAATTAGGAAAGCCAACAGATTAGCTGGCCACTTCTTTTTTTGTCAGGTCAGGAGGAAAGCAGCCACTGTGTCAGATGTGACTCATCTGTTCTCTGTACCTAGGTCCTCTCCGGCCCGGGCTGCCTCATGGCGGAGTGTGACCTGGGCCTGCGCTGCAACACGCCAGCCCCCCGGAACGTGACAGAAGGCGTCAGGCGCCACAACCCCCACAGAGCCTTAGCTTGTTCCCATCTGAAAGCTGCCTTCAAACCCCTGGAGTCCCAGAGAGCAGAACCTCAAGATGGAAGGGCCCACGTCCCAGGGGAGAGAGCCCCATACTAGTCAGCACCCCTCGCTCTCCTATTCTCGTCACTGGGAGATGTATTCACACTGCTGGGCTCCTGGGGCTTGCCTGTTATGTTCCTAACCCTCTAGGCAATAGGACCGCCATCCATAACCATCATCTTTGTTTAAAAACAGGGCACGCTAACATGGAAACCTGAGGAAACATACAATCTAAGAATAAACAGTTCTTTTCTACAGTATTCTGTTTACGGAAAACTAACCACATTACTTCTGTTTTTCCTGTTTCACTGGTCCCTGACAGTTCCGGGCTGGCATGGAAAACACCTCAGCTGTAGCTCCGCCCCTCAGTGTAAGAACCAGCCAATGGCCACACACATACCGACAGCAATGCTGATAGTGGGTGATCGAATTCAAGGTCAGGACAGAAGCCCAGAGTGGGGAGCACAGGAGCACCCGCTCCCCTCCTGCTGCACCAACACTGGGCTCCCCAGCCTCACCATCTCTGGCACACATCAGAGGAAACGAAGCTCCTAGGCTCTGCACAGCCCCTGCACCACCCAGCCTGCACACTGTCCCCCCAACCACCTGCCCTGGACTCATGCAAACTGCAGGCCCCGCCCCTCTACCTCCCCGCCCCCAGCCATCTTGTCCAGGCTCCGAGGCAGAACCTCCCTGCCCCCCAGGGCCTGCCTCCCTCTTTCCCTTTGCCCCCCTCCACCCCTGACTCTCCCCACTGCTTGAGATGCTCTCAGACAGCACAAGGGCGAGACACAGGGGAGAGAAACACACCTGTGCCCACTCCTGGCTGAAGGCAACAAAGCTAATCCTGACCTGCTCTGCTTTGGGTCTTAAGCACCTGCACCAAACATGACCCACAATCCAAATTCTTGGAAAACATTTGAAATAAGACCTTCTTAAAGAAAAGATCCTTGATATTTTTTAGGAAAAAGGTCAATCCCAAAATGTTCCACCTCAGATAAGTCCAGGCAAGCATCACCAGAAGTCTAAATTTTAAAAAAATAAAAATAAAAACATGAAGAGTCCTAGCTGGTGTGGCTCAGTGGATCGAGTGCCAGCCTGCAAACCAAAAGGTCGCTGGTTTGATTCCCAGTCAGAGCACATGCCTGGGTTGTAGGCCAGGTCCCCAGTAGGATGCATGTTAGAGGCAACCACACATTGATGTTTCTCTCCCTCTCTCTCTTTCTCCCTCCCTCCCTCTCTCTAAAAATAAATAAATAAAATCTTTATAAATAAATAAATAGCCGTACGACCCAGTGATTACACTTCTAGGGATTTATCTGAAGAAAGAATATACACACCCCTCTGTTCATTTGCAGCATTATTTATTTAACAATTTTTATTTCTTTATTTTTAGAGAGAAGGGGAGGGAGGGAAAAGGAGAGGGAGAGAAACATCAATGCGAGAGAGAACTATCAATCAGTTACCTCTCAAAAGCACCCCCCACCAGGGGCTGAACCCGCAACTCAGGTATGTGCCCTGACCAGGTATTGAACCAGTGACCTTAAGCTTGGTGGGACGACACCCAACCAACTGAGCCACACCAGTCAGGGCTGCAGCGTGATTCATCTCCAAGAGCCAAGGCAGGGATGCAACCCAAGTGCCCATCAACAGACAAGTGAATAAAACAGCTGTGGTGCACAAAGACCAAGGAATACTACTCGGCCAGAAAAAGAGTGAAATCTTACCACTTGTGGCAGCATGGATGGACCTAGAGAGTATTGTGCTGAGTGAAATGTCACTCAGAGAAAGACGAATATCATGATTTCACTTAGCTGTGGAACCTAAAGGACAAAATAAATAAACAAACTTGGAACGGACTCACAGATACAGAGAGAGAACTGATGGTTGCCAGGGAGCGGGGCTCAGGGGCACTGGGTGAGAAGGAGGAGTGATCAGGGAGCACAGACAGCAGTCGCGAGGCGGTCACAGGTGCACCAAGTGCCACACAGGGAGCCCAGTCTGTAAGACTGCTAACTAAGTGTGGTGCCAGGTGAGGTACTAGACATATCAAGGGAAGCACTTCATAAAGGATATGATTATCTAATGACTGAGCTGCACATCCAAAAACCAATACATAATTTTAAAAAAGTAAATTATTTCACCCAGAATGCCACGGGGAGGAAGGAGCCAGGCGCCCTCTCCTGGCCTGGCCGCAGCAGTCTTCCCTTTCCGCCTCCGCCTCCTCCCTCCAGGCCGCTCCCCAGGAAGGATCAGAAGCCCACCCGCAGACGCAGAGGTGCCAAGAATTCGGACTCAGAGCCTCCCTCCTCCTGCCAAAAACATCCTCACCCTCAGAACCAGAGGGACACTACCACAGGAGTTACAAACATCGTGGATAAAGGATTCAGAACCTGGAACCATCATCCAAGTTTCTCTGGGGTCTGGAGAGGAAAAGCCCACCAACAGTCCACCTGGGCTGATGCCCCAAACGGCCTCGCTGGCAAGTGACAACGCTCTGCCCAGGTGCGGAGCCATCAGCGATCCGAGTGGGAAGGAGGTCTGAGCACGACATGCACCAAGTCTTTCTGCTCAGGGAACATGGGACTTGCCAGGCCCCTGGACCAGTCCTAACGGAGGGGGAGGGGAGGGAGTAGCATGAAGAGCCTGCCAGGGCCTTTTACAAGGAAGCCTAGAGGTAAGCTTAGTGAAACACCTTAAAAAAACTGATGTTTTAATTTTGTTAGGTGCCCCTTGTCTCCCTAATGCAGACTGTACTTGGGCAGGGACTTTCCTCCCCAGTGGGGAGAAAAAAAGTGCCTGGCAAGAAGTAGCTTGTCCCAGGGCCACCAGGCAACTCACAAACACAGCAGAGCAGAGCCGTCTGCTGGGCAAGACACCAGCCCACCATGTCCTCATCCTGGGACGGTCCTCGGCTGATCCTCGAGGTGGCCCAGGTGCCCTTCCCCCACCCCACAAGCACAGAGTCAGCCACAGGGACCCACACCCCCAAAGACAAGGAGGACATGGGGCCAACAGGCGGACTGCAGGCTGGCCCTTTCGTTATTGTTAAGGCATGCATTCTGGCCTCTGGCCTCACCTTCCTCCTCTCTGTCTCCTGGCTCCATTCCTGCCCCTCCCACACCAAGGGGACAGACAGAAATGAAGGCTGGTTCTCCACAGAGAGAGGCCAGGAAACCAGAGGGACCCAGGGAAGCCACCAGAGACACCGTGGACCTCTGAATAATCCCTGCCCTTCACGGGTGGTTTCAGCTTGTCTGAGTCCTCTCCCACCCCCAGAGATGTCCCCCCATCAACCACTGCAGGCCACCAGATCCTTCCCATCCATCCTGCTCACTCAGGTCCTGGACACAGAGCAAGAAGCGCAGGTCTGGGAGGGGCGGCAGGGGTGGAAGGGTGGCTCTTCCAGGAACATCCTTGATGCGCAGTGAGTTATAACCATAGCCCCAAGGCACCAGCCACTCCCTTCCCCAGCTCCAGCTCACAAGGCAGGAGACACCATCAAGGAGAGGTCTCCTATCTCGATCAAGGAGACACCGTTAATCACCTGGAGCCGTAGAGGCAGCAGGAAGGGCCCCTGCTTCCATCAGCAGGCAAAGCACAACCCCCTTGGGAGGTGCTCAGGCCTCTGCTGGGTTCACAGGTCAGGGGTTAAGAGTCGAGATAAAACCCCAGAGGTCATCTGGTCCGGGGGTCCCAAACATGGCTGACAGAATCACCTCAGACCTCCTAGTTCTGACTCCCTCAGACTGTAGCCCAGGAATCAGCATTTCTCAAAGGTGCACCCCACGTGTCTCTGATGCCATTTATTTGGGGGACAGTGAATCTAGCCCATTCCTCTTCCTGCTGGCAGGGCCTGGGGCTTAAACAGCAGTGGCCAGAGGACTGATTCTTTGGGCCGGAGGCAATCGTCCTTGGGTATTTAGGGCAGTTGTTAAAACTCTATAATCTACTGATAGATGAGGGACACCACAAAAACACTATGCTATTGAAAGAAGTCCGACAGCAAAGTTGTCCATTTACATGAAATGTCCAGAACAGGTGAGTCCGCAGAGAGAGAACACTTGCTGTGGTTGCCAGAGGCTGTGGGGAGTAGCAACAACCTTAA